AAAAATGGATTTTTTTGGGATATCCAAAAAATTCAAGCAATATCTCAATAAATTTAACTTTGACAACCTGTATCCCAATACCAACAAACCAACGATCTGGAGGCATATATTTGTATCAAAAATGGTATTGACCTCTACCGATGCCTGACATATTTTAATCCGCATAAAAAAGGTGTAACTTTGATAACAATATAATTTTTTAAAAAATGGGTATACATTAATTTCGGCTTTCTACTACTCCATCTTGAAACAAAAAATGTGGGAATCTTCCAACAAAGGAAAAAAGCAATGTTGATTTCTTTGGAAGATTCCTACATTTTCTGTATTAAGATTGAGTAGTAAAAAGCCAAAAACTTTCTTTCCCAAAAATTAATTACTTCTAAAAAAATTACCCTTTCAATTCAGATAAATGTTATTACTATTAAGATATGAATGTAGAATCGGACATGAATACTCATTTTGTTATACAGTAGAAAAATTGCATGCTAAGTTGGGTCGCAATGAATTTGCCCTAACCATCGTTGCTCAGTATGCAACTAATACAAAACCTTGAGTCATAATGGTGTGATGAAATTAATTATTTGAATAGTCAAAAAGACTCACCTATTAATTAATTATTTATTTCCGACAGTTTTACGACTACGTCTTTCATATATAGAGATAAAGTAAAAAAATTAAAATCGAATTCATTTGCTAGTCTTTGGATATGTGAAAGGCAACTGTTGCAACCATAGTTCTTTCTGAATATCAAAGATTTGACAGAGTCTGGTGGTACAAGATGGGACATTGAAATGAATTTTCGAAAGCAAGCTAGGACTAGATATTTAGTTTAATAGTAATCAATTTATAAAGAAAAGATAAATCTCTGTATCTTATTCTGGAAAAAAGTGGGGATAGGTTGGTGAACTGTTCACAATACTGGTAGTTGAAGTGAATAAGTAGTATGTAGACAATTTTTCATTCGATGTTTAATAGCACATGTTGTAACTTGATTATTTCTATGAGGAATTCATTGAAAATACCTGCAAATTTTTCCTTGCCACATTTTGCACCATCATTAGTAACTATGTAGAAAAAATATTTGTATTTCAGTATGTTTAAATGGAACAAAAGATAATCATCGCGGGAAGCCGCACCTTCCCCCCCAAAATGGGGAACACAGTTGGCCCCATTAGGGCTCCGCTGTATTGAGTTGAGAATCTATGACGTCACATAAAAAATGTGGTTATTTAACCATTTTCTGCCACCAAAACATTCCAAAAGTAATCCTAACAACACTATTTCTTCTTATAATAATAATAAAAGCTTATTTATGACATTTTATANTGAACCAGAGCAAAATAAAGTAAATTCAAACGGTGTATGCTCAAGATTTTTTTTTATATTTAAATTTTGGCAGAAGGATCTTTAATTTTTTCAGCAAATATTTGATTTGATGATTCCATCTCAAATGTTTTTCAAACATTATGCCCAAGTACTTGATACAATCAGCCTTGAAGAATTCGAAACTCTCACTAATTTTAAGTGAACCTAATTTTGGTGAAAAATTTTGGCAAGAACTGAAATTCAAATATTTGTTTTTTTCAAAATGTATCGTTAATAAATTACTATGTATTATCTGCAAAAGATTGAATTTTTCTTTCAGGCTGCATATAAAATAAATCATTGATGTAAATATTGAACAATATCGGACCCAAAATAGAACCTTGAGGAATACCATTAATAAATAATTTTTTGTCATTGTATATATCATTCATTTTAACTTGTTGATTTCTATTTTACAAATAACTTTTCATTAGATTGAATGTAGTTCCATGAAACCCAATTTCTTGAATGGATGACGAATGGATGATAAATTAAGTGAAAAAAAAACAGATAAAGTTGGTATTTTATCATCAAATGACTGATATACATTATTTACTTTGTGACAAATTGCATTCTGCGTGGACTTATTTTTTCTGAATACGAATTGAGTATTTGAGAAAAAATGGATTTTATCTAAATATTTTTCAATTCTATACTCAAGGATTTTTTTCAAATATTTTTGCTAAACTAGATATCAATATGATAGGTCACTAATTCTTCATTTCATTCTTATCACCACTTTTGTAAATGGGCTTCATTATTCCCATTTTGAAATCATCAATACATATTGCAGTATTGAAAATCATATTTATTAAATGCACAATGTTTTTACAACTTCAGAAGTTATTCCATTATATCCAGGTGATTTTCTGAGTTTCAAACTGTCAATTACATTTCCAACGTGTTTTTTATTTTTTCTGCTAAATTTTCTCCAACTTTAGAATAATAATTAAATTGATTAGCCATAACTCTTATATCTGTTGTAGTTACACCATTCGTCATTTTGATGATTTTAATGTTATTACATATTTTCAGTTTCATTACATATTTTTTAATACAACTCCATAATTTGAGCGATTAGAGGGTAGGGTCATCTCATATGTAAGTGATCAGAACTGGTCACCGTGATCGTGAGATTTGACCCCGTTAGACTTTTTCTTGTGGGGTTTTCTTAAGTCGCAGGTGTATGCGAGTAAGCAACAAACCACATCGGTTCTCAAAGCTCATATAACCTATACCATCGGTCAAATTTAGACTGATTTATGCGGCAGAGTCATGGAAAATTTGATGTTTCGGATGCGCTCCACCCAGACGTGACGGATATTTGAATGATGGCATCAATAGCTCTTGAGAAAACAATTACAGTACAATATTACTTCTAGGAAAACATCTAAAATATCAGCATTTAATGTCAAAACTTGATTAGATAAATGATTAATTCTGGCAAAATAGTTGTTTCAGGAAAACAAGTAATGTATAAATATAATGAAGCCACCGTCTAGAATTACGCGTCTTAAATAAAATATATTGTGAAAATGCTGTAATTATTATTATGGATAGTTTTATTAATTTTCATCAAGTAACGGGTCAGTGTATTCAATTTGAAATATAATTCTCATATAAATTTCAAAGTGATTTTCAAACGTGATTTTCATCAGAAATTAATTCTGAAATATTCAAATATCTGCAATTATCAATTTCCTGTCCACCGGTATTTTGAAGAAATGGAAGATAGAACTGAAACGTCTGCCGTAAAATATATCCAAAACAAGCCCTGTTCTAAAGACGTCAACTTGGTTGGTGAATCGCGCCTTGAAAATAGTGTATAGTTTTGGTGTATAGGAACAGTGCTTGTTATGGATACTTCTATTTTATCAAAAGTTTCCATCCACTGCATCCATCCTCAAACAAAACAATACCACATTTCAAATAATTGAAACTGAAGGCCCTCATATTATCGAATGACGAATCTCACATACTCACTATTCAACATATACGGAGTGTTCAAAACTTTTCTTGGTCTAGAATCCCTCGATTTCCATACATAAACCCCCGATTTGTATTGTCGTTCTTTTCAAATTATACTACTGTTTAATTCCTCCACTGTGTTTTTTAAAGTTGCCTCATAAAATCTCCAGCTTAATACATTGTGCCAGGGCCCCACTTCGTGGTACCAAGCCCCAGCATTGAGCCTTGAGATAAGTTTTTTGAGCCAAATGGTAATTTTCATAGAACACAGAATATATGTATTGGTTACAGTTAAAATAATAATAGTGACGTACTTTGAACATTTATTTAAGTGGCAAGGAATAAAGCCACCAAAGAAAATGAGTTATCAGAAGAATGGAAAAAATGTAGTTATGTTTGGTTTTAGAATGTTTTGGTGGCAGAAAGTTAGGGTATATCATCATATTTTTGCGATGACGTCATCGCCTTCCAACTCAATCCAGCTAGCCGGGGCCCTGTTTAAGTTGGAGCTCTAGGGGGGGCAACAATGATCCCAGTGTTGGGGGCGGATTTTTGCCCCAAGTAACATTAGGTTCTACTATTTCATTCAATTTTTTTTGTAAATGTATTGAGTAAAATGTGATATGAACCCGAAAATATATAAATAAATAATTAACGATTCTAGTGTTCTGAAAACGAAGACCTGGAAAATCTCCTGAAAGCTGACTTCCAAATGAACAGATCTTCCTTCTATGACGCGTGTCCCATCTTAATATACAGCATAATAAATAGACACTGCGCCGAAGAGATCTTCCTAGAAGACGAAACGTCTTCGACAGCCCGCAATGGCTTTGTCTGGTTCTGTTCCATCATGGCTGTCGTACTGATAAGTGCCTGCGGGGTGCTCTCCCTCGCTATCATTCCCGTGATGAAAAAAAAATTCTACAAGCCGATGATCCAATTCCTGGTGGCTCTGGCGGTGGGCACATTGGCCGGTGACGCGTTGCTGCATTTGTTGCCGCACGCCATGAGCGGAAACCACGCGGAAGAAAGGAATTCACACATGCACGGACATGACGACAATATCAAGAAGGGATGCGTTGCCATGCTCGGTCTGACGTTTTTCTTTATAATGGAAAGGCTGATATTGCTCCTTGGGAACTGGAGAAAGGGCAAGAGGAAGCACGAGCATTCGCATGTTACAGTTATTAAGGATGCGGGGGAGAACGAGAAGGGAAACAACGAGACACAATGCATGGATAGGTACAACTCGGTTCCGTACTGCTATGAGGATATCATGAGTAATCCACGTGAGTTTTCAATTCTTTTTTCAACTTGTTTATTTCCTGTTGGTCTATAAATAAAAAGGAAAAAATCATTTATTCTATAGACCAACTACATGGCATCATACATGTCAATTCATACAGCTTGTCAAATGTAAGAAGAGCTTCTTTCGTTATAGTCCCGCCCACAAGATATGGGTTCGTTAGAAGATGAGAGAGAGAGAGAGAGAAAATTCTCAAATCTCTTCCTAGATTTGACAAGCTGTACTTGATATATGTAATATTCAAAAGTGAAGTAATGAGGTTGAATGCTCTTTATTTTGAAAATCCTAATATACATATTTCAAAATCTATAAGTCTGGGTATCAAATAAAAAAAGACATACGTGGAAGGTTAAAAATGATTGGGTTTATTTGGTCCTCCATTGCAATCCGAGAAGGTTTATTGTGGCGTACACCTAACTCAACCAGACAAATCCACCTTCTTAACAAAGTCAATTGCTTTCTTTTGATCTCTTTGAATGATCCATTACAAGGTATTTCAAAGTATTTTTCAACAGCATTTTTTAACAAATGGGAGCAAGTTGATAATTTTTTCTAACACGCTTTCATTAATTAACTTCACCTGTGTTTGTTTGTTACTCTCAAGCTCGGGATCTGTATTTGACAATATTATCGACATTATTGCTTGATTTATTCGCGGGCAGATGGCGCTGTACATAACCTCCTTGATATATCGACATTATTGCTTGATCTATTCGCGGGCAGATGGCGAGGTACGTAACCTCCTTTATATAATTCTAACTCACTTTACTTGTATTTCTTCATTTGAAACAAGGATTTTTTTTATTAACACCCGCGCATACCGCCTTATTTGTATCCCTCTTTTGCGCGCCTGCTGCCTTGGGCTTGGTAGCTGATTTTCAGGCTCCCTCTCCAGAATCGGAAAATATCATGGTCATTTTTCTAAACAATATACGGCTGATTGATCCCAAAGTTTAGATAATATAAATATAGTTTAATAAGACTAAAATACTCGCTGTTATAGCATACGAAACTAAACAATTAAAAAATCACGCTTTTCAAGAACATCGAACTTAAAAGTTCAAAATATATTTTTTGTAATGAGCTTAAAAAAATAACGAACGAAAAATACTAGTATTATTGTGAAAAAAGCGTGGGCCATATTTTTTGTATATTAAGCGCCCTTTGCTTTTAGTATTTTTCGTTCGTTATTGTTCTAAGCTTATTTGAAAAAAATATTTTTAACTTTTTAGTTCAATAATAGAGTTATTGCATGAATACGTTTTGTTCACCGATACAGTTTTCATCATGTTTTCTCTAAGATTGTGAAGAAACTATTTAAGAAGGAACAGTACTTTCTGCTACAGGTTCTCCGGGTATCCTCACAGTTGCTCCATAAACCAATTCAGCACTAGAACACTGCAGTTGTTTTTCTAATCATGCCTCAATCATTTTATTATCAGATGGTGGCAAGCTATGGTTCTTATATGCTGCATACTCTTCAAAAAGTGAAGATTCAAATTGACTACCTTGGTATGTAGTTATTCTTAAAGGTATTCCAAATCGAGAAATCCCTCCCTGATAATTTTTTTTATCATTAATTTTTAATTTTTGGCACACTTGATATTTTTGTATTGTTTCATTTAAAATTTTTGGGAGAAAATAAAACCAATACTAAAAATGAATTCTACATGACAAACTACATTAGATTCTCGAATTGACAACCTCTTTGTTGAATTTAATAAGTTGTCCATCCATACAATTTCTAGCATGGTGGTTGATATCTGTACTAGGTATCGAAAAAACTTTATCCTTTATGTATCCCCAGACAAAAAATCGAAAGGAGTAAGGTCTGGGGATCGAGTTGGCCAGACAATTGGTTTATTGTTTTCAATCCATTTTGTTGGGAATATTACATGTAAATGTTCCCTTACTATTGCTGTATTATGGGGAGGGGCACGGAGGATGTTCAGCGGAATTTTTTTAAGTAGCTATCAAACTCGTTGGATAAAAAATATAGATACATTTCGCCATTCATATACATGTAACAGAAAGGATCTAGTATGTTTTTTCCCAAAATTCCCAACCAACCGAACTTTCTCTGGAAATGTTTCAATTGAGCCAACCATTGTTGGTGAATTTTGATTAATCTGTCCATATTATTTCTTTACAAATATTTCCAACTACCCTATTTCTACGTCTTAACCACTTCACAAATCGTACTATCCTTTCGTAATCCCTTTCATTAAAGTGATGAACTTCATGTATCCTGTAGCATTTGTATTTGTTTCTTTTTTTATATTTCTGGTAGATTTTACAAAAGTCCCTAGTTCGTGAGGTAATATTTGGTCACCTAAAATATTTATTTGGTTACTCACACTTCCAGTATCTACATATTTTTTAGTTTTATTTCTTTCAAATGCACCATAGTCTCTCAAATTTCTTTTAATAGTCTAAAAATATGAATGTTCGGAATACGATTCGGGTATAGCTCATCAAAAGAGAATTTCTATTTGATTTTGCATTAGTAAATGGAACATCAGTCCTTTCCTCATTTGAATATATCTTTAATGTGTAACTAAATGCATAAATGTCTAGCAGTTCTTAACAGATATCAACAACTCATTTATTTTTCCTGCAAACCAAGCAAAGCCTATGTGTTTAAAAATGGTAAATGAATTGAGATGCTATTCAAGTGTACTGAATTACAGAATAATCATATATTAAACAAAAACTAATATTTTATTGAGAATAAAAAATATTCCGTATTAAAATTGATTCAGAAAAAATTGGCCTTAAATGAAAAGTAATAAAAATATCAAGTGTGATGTATCAGTGTGATTTCATCAATATTTAATAAAAGAGACATGTCCGTATTTGAAAAAAAAAAAATTACACAGATGTGTAGGCTTTGGTATACAGTATGAATTCATAAATTCCACCCAATCACGAAATCACACTTAACGATGAGGTAATCGCGATCCACACGCTCTGAGGAATTACTCACCAGAATGTATATCTACTTTTTAAAACAAATAATTGATCAAAAGCGATGAAAATAAGTATCTTTCTTGTCATTTTCCACTTATTTTCTAAAAATAACGACTTTGAGGATTCGCATCATGTCCGGTCTTGGAAAATAATAGAAATCTTCAAATTCAAACGTTTTAACAAAAAAAGTGGTTAGAATAAAACTTGAAGATAGCAATATTTTCTATGAAATGAAATGAGAAACCAATTTCCAGGAAAAATAGTTATCATTTTATGAGGAGAAAACGGCGATTTTTTAGAATTTTTTTTTTCAAATTCAATTTTGCTGAGGCACTGTTTAAAATTATCCAATTGAGCTAAAACTTTCTAAATCTTATTTCAACCCTCATTTGTATGTATAACGAACATTGGGTCACAGAGACTGAGCAATATCTGATGAATTTAGAAGGCTATCAAATGACCTCTTCATACTCAAGAAGGGAAAGAATATACGGCGGACCCTGCATCTTATCTAAAAATCTGTGTGATTTGTCGAAATCAGAATTAAAAGTATCGGAAGTATAATAGAATACTCATCTGTAGTTTTTAAGGAAATTAAATGTACTATAATTTGTATCTATAGGCCCTCTTTTGGAAATTTAGATATATTCCTACAAGTTCTCAGTGAAATACTTGATATTGTACAAAATAAATTCAGGAAATATGATACAATACTATGTGGTTATTTCAATATCAATCTTATGAATACAAATAATGCAACTGCTCAGTATTTTCTACACCTCTTATTAATCTGGACAAACAAATAAATTAACCGACAAGAATAACATCAAGATCTTCTTCACTACTGGATAATATTTTTATAAACTTCGAAAACGATCATTCTGGAGAAGTTATTACTTCTACATTATCCGACTCAAATGCTCAGAATTGAAAGAACTGGGAAAATTGAAACTAAAAAAACAAATACAAAAAATAAGAAAAGAGTATTCTCAGGTGCTAAGCTTGATCAATTGAAAAATTAATTGAGAAATAACATATATCAACTTTATTCCTATGAAGATCCAAATGAAGCCTATAATTATTTCAATGGAGTCCTCAGAAAACTAATGAATATAGTCACCCCACTAAAATCTTGTAAAGCAGACACCAACTTGAAAAATAGAGATTGGATTACCATAGGAATAAAAACATCAAGCAAACGTGAACAACATTTATACACATTTTAAAAAAAGGTATCATATCTAATGATACATACCAAAGATATAGCAATATTTTCAAAAAAGTAGTTAGAGAAGCAAAACAACGCTGTAATAAAAATTACATTCAAATGTCCACCAATAAGTCCAAAGAAGTATGGAATCTGGTCAAATCTATTACTGATTCGGATACTACGGCACCTATGTCAGTATCGGAAAACATTTCTCCAGATGAAACTATTAAAAAACTAGCTCTAAATGAGGTGAATCAGTACTTTATTAATAACTGCACAACTTTGAATAGTGTAAATAAGAGCAATATGTATTTAGAGCGTCCATCTTTTGATAAAAACAATTTCTTTCTCCCAACAGATTCAAAAGAAGTTTATGATACTATTCTGAAGTTAAAAAATAGTGAAGCAGTAGGTGAAGATTAAATACCAACTAAATAACTGAACATGTAGTATATGAAATATGTGAACCTATTGCTCACATTACGAACTTATCATTTTTGACAGGTATTTTTCCTGATAATCTTAAAATTGTGCATGTCAAAGCTATCTTTCACAATTGGAAATAAACATGAAATGATCAACTATAGGCCCATTGCAATACTGTCGTTAGCTCGAGCTAACTATCATGCTCTATGTAAGGTCATTTAATCTATCAATAGTAAAAAGGCTACAACAGCTGTCAATCTGGACTTGTCCAAGGCTTTTGACAGTGTTGACCAAAGGCTATTAATTACAAAACTGTCGTTCTATGGTATCAGAGGGCTGACACTCGAACTAATTACGTCCTATTTGAAAAATAGACA